ATTTGCTTGGTGCACTCCGGTGTGGTGCCCATTACACGCTTCTTCTGCTGGAAAGTAAGTTGCTGCCATGATGTGCCACAGTGCGACGGTTGGGGTTCTTCTCCTGACTGTGGGTTCTGACCTGTGTGGCAGTGATGTGTGTGTGTGTGTGCTGGGCCACGCTGCGCATGCTGGGCTGCTGCTGCTGCTGTTGGTAGGTTGTCTGTGTGGTGCTGCTCTCCACGCTGTCTGTGTGTATTGTGCGTCTGTAAGTGTTTGCTTTTGCTCTGCTCCCTCCCCGCTAGACAAGTAAGTCCAAGCCTCCCAAGCCAGTATGACNTGTGCGTCTGTAAGTGTTTGCTTTTGCTCTGCTCCCTCCCCGCTAGACAAGTAAGTCCAAGCCTCCCAAGCCAGTATGACCATTCCTTTTATGGTGCACGGACGTGGTCTCTGTGTGTTTTCCCTTGTGCTGCTCTGTGTGTCCGTCTCCGCCACGGCAGCCGAAGCAGCAGGGGCAGTGGCGGCTGCAAAACCGGCTCAGAAGAAAATAAACCCGGTCGATGCGACGCCAGAAGTAGCAGTGAAGCGCACCACAGAGTTCATGGATTTACTCACGAAGGCAAATAAGACAATTCTGGATGTCTTGGAACTTTCTCAGAATACACTGACAGCTGCAGAGAGCTTGGTGAAAAATACCCCAGCTGAAGGAGAACCTCTTGCAGGGACAGAAGAAACATTTAAGACCGAATCGCAAAAAGCAGCGAAGAAAGCTAAAGAAGCCGCGAAGGAGGTTGCAGATGCGGTGCAGTATGTTTACACCGCACATTTGGTGGCGCTGGAGGTAGCTGCGGGATATACCAAGAATACAGCACTGAAGAGTGCCAATGAAGCGGTGGCGGCGGCGGCCATGAATGCAGCGGAAGCAGCTCTGCTGGCGACGAGGAATGGCCAGGACGTGCGTCGGTGGATGAATGCCTCATCGCGAATGGCCGAATGGGCAGAAGGACGGTCATTTGAGAAAAAGAATTTTTCGGCCAAGAAAGCGGTAGACGTCTCCAAGAGCGCAGTGAAGTTTGTCCAAAATGCGCTGGCAATATCTGACGAGGCACTACAAAATGCTGACGTTGCGCTTGATGCCGCCAAGAAGGCAGAGCTGCTGGCTCAAGCGGTGAAGAAAGAAGCTGAAGGTAATGCTACGGAGGCACAGAAGCTGCGAGAACAAGCTGCAGAAA